CATCCGAACTGGTGCAGGATTTGTCCATGCACGGCAACGCTTTTCGAACATACCCTCCCCCTTGTGGCTTACTTTGGGGACATGAAACAGTATTTTCAATTTACCTCGCGGAAGACAAGTTGTCCATTGAAATTGCCATCACTCCCAAAGCAGGGCAATAGAGCATCTTCATCATGCTTGCGGTCTTGCTGCTGGTTTCCATCTACAACTGCCCCAAAGAGGGTACCGAGCCTCAAACAAAGAAACAACGTTTGAAAGCCAAAAAGCTCTCAGGGGCATCTCCCGGAAGTCGTTCCTCTCGATGGTCACCTGCATGGGATCCGTAAGCTCTTTCGCGGCTTCGGGCGGCGATTCGATTCGCTATGTTTAAGCGGCAGCTACGGGTCTTGGGTTGCAGTTGTTGTTGGGTGGGGTTGGGTGGGGTTGGAAGGTTCCGCGGGATGTTCCGTGGCTTGGGCTTATTTCTTTGGGGCGCGGGAAAAGATAGGGATGGTCACAGGGCTCCCTACATTCTAATTTGAGGTGGGTGAGGCCAAGTCGCAGGAGCTGACTTTGCTTACCACTCAAAGAATGCTTCCAAACAGTTTCACGTCGAGCTGGGAAGTGAGCCTTTCTCAAACTGACACCCTGTTTGCAGGAGACTCACTTATTATTGGCCTTTCCAGATAGAGATGCTTAAGGCCAGCATAAAAGGGGACATGTAGGGACCAAAGTGGGCAATCTGCCAATCCAACCCAGCCCAGTTAATCCAAGAAGCCTTGGACGTTGAACCCGGGTTTCCCAAACGTGTGAGCCTTCCCCCAGGTCGTGTTTGAGCTCGTGCAAAGAAAGCAACTTCAAGAGAGACCTCGGCGAAAGGAGCACCCAGAAATCACGAGACTCTGCAATGAATCCATTGAGAGCTATGATAAGTTAAAAATCCCCGCGCTAGCACCCGAAGATCAATTTCCTCTGGAGCCCCGTCTCCCAGTGTGTTGGGAGGGAGGGTAGTACAAGCAAGATTCAGTAAACAAAATGATGACAAGCTCTTTCAAACCCCGTGACAGGCATAGGCCAACGTTGGGAAAGCAAAGGTTGAAAAGCTGGATTTTGGGGTGTCCTGCCTATCCCTGCTGAAAGCGGATCGCAAGAAAGTGCAAGTCTCAACCCTGGACCTCCAGAAACCTGCCGTCGGTTTGGCGAATTCACCCCATCGCTGTTGGCGAAAAAGGGCGAAACCTCCCACAGCGACGCCCCAGCCCTCCAGCCCTCCTTCAATGGCTTCTGCTGTTGGCTGGGGGCTGTTCGCCGTACGCGAGCGGCCGTTTGTGCAAGTCATGGCCTGGGAATAAAACACACATAAAGATTAAATGACACAATACAATTCAATGCTTCAATGAAAACTGAAGGACAACTGAAATGGTTGAGGAGAAGGCCTTGGGCGCTACTGCCATCCCATAAAAGTGGATATGTTAACACCTCAGTGTGGCTCCGTAGATGAAAGGACACGAACATGTATATAGGTAAAAGGTTATGCACTGCGCAGGTGGGAGGTCAGTTGCTTCATGACCTCTTTACAACCAAAGGCAGTCAAAATCAGGGCGATGGAATTGGGGATCCCCGGCAAAGCGGGCGCACTTCTTGCACTTACCAAGGGGTAGTCATCCACCCGGCTTGCCTGAATGTTTTCGAGGAGCGAGTCGATCACATCGATCACGAAAGCCTCAGCTCAAATCTTAAGCCTCGCCGATCGGATGGGGCGTCTGAATTGTTCATTTTGTGTTTTGCTTCGAGGGTCTGGACAAGCTTGAGGAATTGCCGATCTGCTTTGGCTTCGCGGGGCAGTTGAGCACGTGTTGAATAACGAGCACTTTGGCTGCTGCGTATTGTCATTTGTGCTTGACTGCTAGGCCATCATTCCTCACAGTGTTATCTTTTTGACTTATTGAGCAAATTAGAAGGGTCAATATCCTTGGCCCCACTCTTGTAGCACTTCGGGCTTGGGACATGGGGAAAAAACAGTCGTTGGAGGGTGCTGGCTTATTTTTCCCAAAAGGAGTTGCTGAAAACGGTGGACCTTCTTTGGTTATCCCAAGGGAGGCCGCCTAAAAATCCAATCCTGATTCCGTACGCAACTCCGGGTTGTCCGACAGGTCCCCATTTTGTCAAAGTCTCAAACGGCGAGCTGGGTGCTCAATAGCCTTATATGTGAGCTCCCTATAATTTGCCCAGCATGATCTTGGACCCTGTCAGGTGGTCCAGCCATGACCCACGTGTGGTCAAGTACAAGCCATCGTTAGCTTGAGTTAACTCGCCACAAACCGTCGCCGGGCTTCCCGGCATCCCGGTACTTGGCCAGCCCGCTGAGCAAGGACGCAACCTTGCAGGACCCTGGGGTTTATCACCATCCCCAGCCGGGCCCAAAAAAAAGCGGGTGGTGTTTGGCCAAATGGGTTCATGCCGTTTTGTCGGGGCCGTGGTTGCCCTTTTTTTCTTTTGGGCCAAAGGATCCACGCCTGCAAAAAAGCCTTCGACATGGGTCAAGCAGCGGCCTGTATCACCTGGCCTTGGAAACTTGGCTTTCCGGGAAGGTAAGTATACACTCAGTTTTCTAGTCAGGCTGATCATTCTCTAAGAAAAGTAGATATCCGGACTTCCTGCAGTCTTTACGCCTCCCTCCCTTGCAAAGAAACCATCACCACGGGTGAGGTCGCGAACAGATACTCACATTAGGCGATTGGGGGAAAGCAAGGGTGCGACGGGAGAGGGCAAAGGGAACGGGGACGCCAAGCCAACGGCTCACTTTGTCTTCAGCCCCAGCTCCCCAAACGAAGAAAGCGACAAAGCACAACAGCAAACACTTTTAATGGCAGCACAAAGACACCTTTCATAGCAAAGCTTCGAATGCATTTGGCCGAGCGCCAAGCACAGGAGAGGTTCTCGTAGTTGGCGTGATGGTTTAGGTCCTGGTGTGGGCCAGGCAAAGACCTTTGCGGGTCATCGTCACGAATCCCATCCATGCGGGGCTTAATTAAGTATCCCGCATCGCTTGGTCTGGTGGTTTAAGCTTGTGCAACTGGCCGGCACCAGGTGTGACCTTAACATGTCAAATCATGTGACAAGAGGTTGCGGCAGAAAACAACCATGTGATCACAACTTGGGCTGTCTGAAAGTCAAACCACGCAGAAACAAAACACTCTGAACAGTAATAAACGTTTTTCGTTTTTTATTTGAGGGTACCCCTTTTGTGGTATTGAAGGAACACCAACAGGAACACAAGTGCGTCTCTTGTTTCTTTTTCCTTTTCCTTTTTTTTTTTGGGGGGGGGGAGTGCCCGAAAAAACAACATATTTAAAAAAAAAAAAAAAAAAAAAAAAAAAAAACACGCCCAGATGGGCCCGAGATTGGCAACCTCGTAAATGGAACCTTACCCCGGGGTCAGGGACACGCCATTTCGGTTGGGACTTGTGCCCATTTGGGCTTGTCGCAAATTCGGAATCGAACTCAAACTGGGCAGCTGTTCCTTTTGGCTTTCCTTCCAATCCATGCAGCAAGGGAAGCCTCAAAAAAGAGAGGAGCCACCCCTCGCCAGGGATCAAGGCCCTAAGCAAGGAGTCTGTGCTCTCGCTACACCCAGAACCACACCCAGGTTTATGTGATATGCAGCCACTATATAACAATATGCCGGAAGATCTCCTTCCTTTTTTTGGGGGGGGGGGGTCCTGGTGAAAACATGTTGCAAGGAGACAACCCTATGCCCTTGGCGGCTAAATCAACACTTGCTAACGTGGCGCAACACTCCAACGGGAACCCATTGAGAAAGAAGCAACTGGCTGATTCATTGTTCATGGGTGTCCTTCACTTTTCTGGGCGAACACCCCTTTTTGATGATTTGAATCGGGGTCAACATCATGCCTTTGGGGCATAGTGGATGCCCGAAATATTGCAAGAAAGCAACCGTCCCCCACCATCGTATATCACAGTTAGAGGGCTCCCTTACTTGCCATACTTAGAGCATTAAAGCAAAAGCCTTGCTCTCTTTTCTCTGCTGTCCAGCAGGCACTTCTTCAGCCAACCAACTGCCGGGCCTGGCGCAAGGAAAAGCTCTCCCGAAAGCTGAGCCCCCGATTGTTGGTGGTTGGCCTATTTCGCGGACTCACTTTTCTTGGAGCGAGCTCCTACAAATGATTGTAAAACAAATAAATAAAAAAAATCGCTACACAAATATGAGCAGTCAGTGGTAAAATATCCACCTGATTGTCTGAGCTTGAAGTGCCAACTATGCTATACTCCCTTTGAACCTCGCTATGCATGTGCGCATTGAGTGTGAATGGTAGCAAACACCTAAGCACTTAGACGTCGGAGGGCGCAACTGATTCCAAGAACGCGATAAGTAGGGGAACGCACAGTAGGGAAAGCGTGTCGCAACACATCAATGCTGGTTTCCACTCAAATATTCCCCCCAAACAAAACAACAGAAACATGGGTGGTGTGCAACCTGGGTATGTGTCCAAGAAAGGCCCCATGGGCAGTTCCTTTTGTCCCCTCGAAACAAGTGCCAGGGTGCACCCAAACGTCACACCTGCGATGGTGCGTCATGTCTTCTTCAACTTCCTCGCACGCTTCATAGGCTCAAGCGTAGCTGGGGCTGATGCTTGCAGTAACACAAGTGGCTTCTCAAGAAGCACGCTGGCATACCTCAGCAGCCCGAAGAAAACTAAAGCCAGGGCAAAACAAGATTGCCGAGTCCTTGGCCATTGCTGAAACTTCAAAGCATTCCAAGAGGCTTTTTGGATTGCTCTTCCCCCTTGAGTTTGTAGGTTTCATGGAAACACAATTTCATGTGTTCAAAAGGTCTACGGGAGTACAATCACAGCAAAGACTAGCAGTGGCTTGAACAACTTGGTTGCCTAGTGGGTAGAGTAAAAAAACACCAGTTCCAGCCGGTTCGCAAGGGGAATTTATTTCAGCAAAGGCGCAACAAGTTTGCCGCGGGACAAAAACAGGAAAACCCAATGCGTGAAGAGCATTGGGATCTTCCTGCCCAAGTGGATTGGCACCAGCAAGTCCAAACCGCGTCCCACTTTGTATGATCTGTCAGAACCAAAACAAAAAACTGAACAGGAAACTGCGGGAGTACATTTTTTCATGTCCAGCCCTCAAAGAAGAGGTATGCCAATAGCTCGCTGTGCCCAGACCCTCAGCACAATGTCAATGTATCAGGTGGTCGGCAAGTTGCTTGACTTCTTCATTCCGCCGGGAAGCATCAGAAGAAATCTACAAAGGACAGGCCTAAGGGTAGAAGTGGCCTGGGTGAAGCAACTTGAAGCAGCATCTCCTTTTGGCAGAACAAGCAACCTACCATCTGGCCAGGAGACTGCGTATGGCGATGGGGGCATGGGACTCTGGAACCCCAGATCGCCAGGATAAATCAGGGGTCAAGTCTGCCCCCTTTCCAATGAAGTGGACTGCCGGCCGATTGCAGCCGGACTTCCAAAGTGGCCCATGTGCAGATCCGTAACGACCGCGGAAATAAATGGGACGGGGGTGTCTGCACTTGCTGGGTACCGCTCCCTTTTGCTTTCAACAAAGGCAAGCCCTCTTCCATAACTGTTGAACAAAGGGAATGCCTGGGGAAAACCTAGCCAATGTTGGGCATCATTGGGGCTCTTTCGCTCTTATAGGGATTTCGACCCTCCGGCTCCAAATGCCTGGGACGGCCACCTTCGTCCCCCACGACGCGAATCAATGGAGCGTGGGCGGCCGTCCCAGGGAAGCTTCCGCACGAGCCTCAGGAACTGGTCCTGGCGCAAGCTTAAGAAGCCGCGGAGCGATGCTTCTCGCGGTGCCTTCCCCTTTCTTTCTAGAAAAAACCTCTGGAATCCCAGGGAAAACGGCGGGTTTTTGAAGAGAAGGATGCCCTCTTGAGTAGCCCCCCCTATCCCAAACCTCTGGTGTGGGAAAAAGACGGGCAGTTGCTTGACGGAAACCTGCAATTTACCATGTACATAGGTACATACATCTAAATAAATGCCAGCACCACTGAAGGCCTCCAGGCGAAACTTGCTCACCATACTTGCAAAAAGCGGCTAGATATTTGGCACACAATTTGGATTGCATCCTCTCGGTGTTACGGAGATTTCCTGAGGCCTCATGGATGCTCATCCTCTAAGCGTTGTCAGGCCTGGGTTGTGCCTGGTAAACCCTGGATATAGGGTCAAGTAAGGCCAAAGAAGACCCCACTAAAGCATTTCCTCCTTTCCAGGCATGACTTAACTCAAGCCCTTGTCTCACTTGGACCGGGAAGCTGCACGAGGCCAAACAACATGGCGAAATCACTCGGGAAGCGAGATTGACCAACAGGGGGTTCTGCCCTCCATGCAGGGCTGGGTCAACCGCCAGCTTACGCGTGTTTAACCACTCTTGTTGATACATTGTCATTTGGCTTTCCCATTGAACATATTGCACTGGACTTCTGCCCCAGGGTCATGCCCATTTGTCTGCAGGCCAGCATGCTTGGTTGCCGAAGAGTCTCTCAGACGAAAATAAACCATGAGTGATGACACACAACAGCCCAAAACCGCCGCTTGTGCGGGGAAAGTTATGCAACCCCAATAGTGCTGAATATCGCCATATCGCCTGAGCGGCCGAAGGGGTGTGCTTTTCTTGACTTTTGACCATTGGGGGCAGCCTTGACAAACAATCCAATAACGATCCAGAGCCGTAGTAAGTGGAGTCAGGAGAGGGTTATTGCAGGGCCCTTACTGGCCCCCCTACGGCTCTGAAACAGCGAAATGCAACATCTAGCGACCCGTGCCTCGTCCTCCTCTTTGTACAAGCCTCGGCGCAGGGCGGCCGTTCTGTGGACAACGAGTGGTACGCATCTCCAAAAAAACAACCTCGAACGTTAACAAAGGACCTTGACTTTTTCAGCCACCGCAATCAATGAAACCTTTGAAACACACTGGAATGTGGCACATTTGCAGCACCAAGCCAATCTGTGCTCAACAGTTCTGGGCAGTTCGTCAAATCGCTCTTTTCCGCAGGCCTTTCCAATTCGACATTGAAGTCACCTGTCACAGGTCGGTGGCTAAACAACCAATCATACATGTGTGGCCTGTGTGGCAATATCACGTCGTTGAACGGAAGCCAGATGCAGTTCCCCGCGTGCGTGCGCCATGACCAGCCAAGGCTGGTAAGGATGCTGCGGAAACCATAACAAGGGCCACGAAGCAACTAAATAAGTTGTTTCGTGTCATGAAGTGCTTCAAAACACTCACAAGCAGTGGCCATGCCCGGGCCCGACAATGCCAACCTGACAAAGCCATGGGCCGCCAACCCCCCGAATAACTCTATGTTCCTGCCACGGTCCATGGGCCGATATCAAAGCGCCGAAGCCCACAAGCGGACCTCATCAAGATTGGAGGTTTGAAGGTTAGGGTGGTTTCCCATTGGCTCGAGAGCTATCTATGACTGCCCGGAACCCCCCCTCAGCCCTTCCTCTCCCAACCACTCCAGGGCCTAATTATCTGGGAAATACCAAGGGGTTGAACCCCTGACCTTTGTGGAGGGCAAACGGGAAGCCAATCACCACACCAAACTAGCAACTGTGATGCTGACACCTGGTGAAACTCCATGCCAAGGGACGCTCAAAGACCAAGTGCTCCACAAAGCGCTCCAAAGGCTCCTCGAAACGGAAGCTTCAGACCGCTCAAGGGGGGAGTTAGGTCGAGTCATCGTGACATTGTTTTACTACCATCAAAGTTATTTTGTCACCCGTACGTGGTAGGTTAACGGGAAAGCGCGTTTCTCAGAAACGGTCCAAATTTAAGGACACCAGCAGTGTGCCATCCATTTTCACCGGGAAATTTTCCCGCAGTGGAGGGATCACCGGCAAACTCGAATGGTGATGCCCTGTTGGGCAAAGATTTGCCAGTGAAGGGTTCCCAACGTGAAACCACAACGCGAAGATTGCTTTTCCTCACGTTAGCAACATGGCCGTCTGTACGTTCTCCTTGTCGTAATTACTGTGACAGTTGTGATTCAGCTTCCCTTTGATAGTTTGGAGCTTGGGAGGTGGTTTCCCCATTTTTCCTCCAGAGCAATGGGCAATCCAATCCACCAACCACTCATGCAGTGATGTCCCGAAGGAACCTGCCATCCCGATATCGCTTTACCTCTCGAACCCGGGAGCCGTCGACGTAGGCCACCCATTCTCATTCTCATTCTCATGACCTTCTAAGAAAGCTTGACTAAAGCCAGACCGAGAGGAAATGAGTGCTTGCCAAGCAGGGTTGTCCCAATTCAACCCCATCGGCACAAGAGCTAGACATGGCTTGACGCTTGGGCAAGCTTGAGGGAAACCACAGGAAGTTTACAAATGCCGACATCACCCCCTAAGCGACAGGCTAAAGGCAAAGAACCCTAGTTTCTGCCCCTTCCATACCCTCCAGAAAAGGACATACTGCAGATCAATCTGGGGGTTTCAGTGGAACAGCTTGGATCCGGCAGATCCGGGTCCTTCTCCTTCTTCTGCTTCCGCTTCCCTTCAGGCCTCAGCGCATCCCCCAAAAAACCAACCATCGCCTTTGGGTTCGTTTTGGTCGCCCCTTCAGCCCCAAAACTGGGATGTCCCATGGAGAAATCAGCGGATCAGGGGGGCACTCGCCACAACATTGGCGCCTGACCTCGGATGGAAGGCCCATTGGCCTGTTGGTCAGAGGTGACAAGGGAGTTCCAGGCACGAGAGGGGTTGGACAACGGGGCCAACAAGCTGACAACTTAGACAGCACAAGTTAGGTCCATTTCAAGGGGTTTAGATCTTCAAAGGTGCAGCTTCCCCCCCCAATCCCGTTTTTGGGATGCCCATGGTGGTATCAAATTCATAGGCGCCCTGAAAGCAAAAGAACACCGCAGACGACTTGACTCGTAGAACTTGGAGCCCTGCGGCTTCACTTGGTAGAAGGCATCCTCCAACATGATCTCCAGCCTCGCAATTCCGAGAGCTACGCGTCGTTCCAGCCTCACTTTTGGGGGCCTGGGAGTGTAATCCCCGCAACGGCAAGACACAAAAATTGGTGTTTCTCAGCATTGGGGTGCCTTGGCTGCCCTAGAAATACCAACCAAACCGTGGTGTGCCATTTTGAGCCACTCCCATATGGGGGTTGTCTCGAGATAGGATGGAACCCACAAAATGATGAGTTTCCTCTTGGTCCCCCTGCAAAATCAAGCCAAGAAGGCCTGGAGGCCAGGCACCTCTTTGGGTGAAGTAGGACTTCCGATGGCCTGCCTGCCTTCCGTGGAGTAGCGAGTTGGGGAAGCCATAGACGCCAAACTACCACTCGCAAGTTAAATACGCCAGTTGACACGGAATCCGTGTGAGAAAGCCAACAAGGCAAACGGGAAAAAAGGCAAGCTTCGCCTGCAAATAGTCATGTGGACGGCTTCGACGCAGTGCCCCGGAGAAGCTTCTGACTGTCAGCTCATTGCTCACAATGGGGGGGATTCATGTAAGACAGCCCGATGGGCCGTGGAATCGAGTGATCGTGCAAATGGTGCCAATGGTAAACTCAGTACTGTGAAATGATTTGACCAATGTGAATTCACCAAACAACAGATTTATCCTTGGGGAAAAATTGCGAAACAAGCGCTTCCTTCCGTTTGTCCAGGGACGCCAATCAACCATTTCCACAGGGGTGAAGAGTTTCGGCCACTTTCGCTGACAAGGTGCAAGGCGATGGAATGAAATGAACAGAATGGGGGGGGGGGCACATTGGTTGACCCAGGTAGCACTAGATGGAGGGGGGGCAAACATCTACGTACCAACCTATGCATGTGTAAAGGTGCACTCAAACTTGTATTTGTGGGACGTACCCGAGGGAAAAGCTTGAGTGAACCGAGCCAACGTTTGCCACCAACATACAAACAAACAGTTGCATGTAGATGAAAAGGAACACAGAAGCACCAAAGCAGAACAACCACAAAATTGCGAGTGGGAACAAAGCCAAACGCAAACCCAAACACACAAAACCAAACAAAGTCAAAACAGAATCATGTAGCACAAACACGCACAAGCCAACAAAATATGTAGCCGCCAACTTTCCTGAGCAGTTGGGCGAGCCTTTTTGTGCAGGGAACCCTGCAAAAAGGCGGTTCTTTCACAAGGGACACCAACGACGAAAGCTGTGAAGCCAATTGGACTAGGTCCTCCAGTAGAGGGGATAGAATAAGGGTACCGTTTCTTTTCTCTGTAGTCTATTTAGGGAAACCCTCAACCAAGAAAGTTGGGTGAGAAAGGGCACCAATTGCTGGGGGGACCTAACCTCCAAGACGCTTCCCGCCGGTCCGCTTTCTCCCCGCGCCTCAGGGGCAGACTCTTGGCCTTCGTGAGGCGCAGCCTTCGGTGCGCGCGAGCCATTTTAGCGGTGGGGGCGGGGGGGGGGGGGGGGATGGCCCCTGTGGGCGGCATTTCCGCTTTGAAGGTGCCTAAAATAAAAACACATGTTTTGCTTGGCCAAAAACAAGGCGGATTTCTTTTTTCAAGCCGAAAGAGGGGGAGTTGGGAAAAAATGGCTTGACTGTAAAAAAAGAGGTGTGAATTGGGTGGTTGATCCCATGTTTGGTGCATCCTCTTGAAAGGTGTTGAGCTTTTTGAGGGCGAGGCCGAAGGGAAGCTGGGCAACCCAGTTTGCTTGGTGCCCACATTTAGAAACGAACCCAATGGGTGCGTCTGGTTTCGGAGCTGCCCGTCCCCAAGCCAGTCCGAACCACTCCAGAGAATTTCTGGGCAGTGGCATTCATGGTTGCTTGGCCAGTCGGTGAAAACGAACATGTATGGGAAGTGTTATTCAGTAGGGTAGAGGGTCGGAAAAGACTTTGTCCCCAATTGCCAGGACTGAGGTTGCACTGCCAGCTGTGGCTCATGGCAAACGCTGTGCGTGGCAGCCAACTAAGCAGGGAGCCGTGGTAAGACCAAAGGATTGAGGGTCCCGGTGGCCGGGACCCGAGTGGAAGGAACCCAAGATGATGCTTGCTAAAATACCATGTCCAACTCAACGACAGAACGTGTTGTAGCTTTCACAGGCTCAGGCAAAAAATAGCATCGAATCTCAATAATAAATAAGATTGTCTAAGCTAGGCTATCCTCCTGAGGACCCCGCATGCGCTCCAGCAAGTTGTCGGTGCGTGTGCCCTCAGCACCGTTCTCCCCGCTGCGATTGACCAGCTGGGGTTGCTCCCAGTCGACCGAATCGATCGAACAAGTTAGTAGAAATTGTCAAACACCATAATGGGGAACCAAAGGAAACTGTTGACCAATGTTCTACCCTAAACATATTCGACAACTTTTGCACGGGCTGAGAGTAATTAGTTGAAACTTGCGCGGTTGCCGCAATGTGTAAGGGAACATGAGCGCGTCACCGGGGGGGGGGAGGTGCAAATTTCAGACAAAGTACTGCAATGCATGAGCATGAGTTAATGGCTGCCCGAGAAAATTACCTGCATCATGGGCTCATTTTCTCTCCTTTGGCACGCCACCCCCCCCTTCAAGCCGCTTATCTTGACATAGGGAACCTTCAACTGGTGGGGGTTGTTAACCATTGCCGCTTTGGGAACATCCAGCGTAGCCCAAAGAGGCTCAAGGCCCCTCAGAGAAACCAAAGGAACCCCCTTGGCTTTGCTGAAATTAGGTCCTTGAGCATCTCCTCACTCCGTGGCTTTGCCAAGAAAAGTCATACTTGCCACGGAAGTTGCCTTCCCAAAAGTGCATGAACTCAGGAAGCGAGACTCGGGGCTTCGTGATCCCCGTTTTGACAAATGCTTCTCCAAATGAGGCAAGGGGGGCATAAAAAAATGGTGAGGGGGTTCCTCGTTTCCATCTTACGACAGGCCAAAAGGGAATAAACAGCTCACCACCAAAAGTGCATCCGCAGCTGTTCTGGCCTTGTCTCATGGGACACCACCCCCCCCCCAAACTGATGTTTGCCATTCCTACGGTAAGCTTCTCTGCCCCCCCAAAATCACGAAGAATACGCTTCATTCTCGTCCATGGTTTCCGAACCTTGATTTTTGAGCAAGGTGTCCTAACAAAAATCCTTAAGTAAACAGGGGCCCTTCAACAGGCCTTAGCGGGTCAATAGGTAGCTCCCCCTTGCAACACCTCCTTTGGGGTGCCGGGTTGCCGGGCCGTCTCAGGCTTGTACAGCAGGTATCGCCCGCACGTCCTCGTCCGTGCCAAAACCACTGCCAAGGGAAAATCGTGCCACTGCCTAAAATTGGGTATCTCTAGCCACTGTACTTCCAAGAGGCTTGAGCATTACCGGGCCACGTCGAGCAAATGAGGCGAGGGGATGTAATATCATAAAGCCCGGTTCGGAGCACATGTCCATCCACCCAGAACTGGGAAATCGTGAGGGCCCGCCTGGTCTTGCATTGTGATGTCATTAAAAGCCCATCAAGAGAAGTAGTGAGAACTGCCGCTGTATGCATGGGGCACCCCGTTTACTGGGGATACATTTACCTTGGGTGGTTTGGCACTGGAAGCCCAAGATCCCTTCCTTATCATGGAGGCTCATCAGACTGAGGCATTTTTTGGCCCGCATACAACATGGCAGAGCTTCTCGGAACATGGCCCCTAAGGCTCTGAGCGATGTCGCACAGAGAATTCGAGGACTGCTACTTGAGGCCCGATACCTTGGGCTCTTGGAAGAACCAGCCTCCAAACGCGGTCCCATTGGACCAAACATGATCCGCTTTCGAACAATTGGAGCATTGGCCAGGGGAAAGGTCGTGCGGTATCACTGACAGAGCAAATTGCAGGAACTCTGCTCAGGATGAGGCCGCTTGGGTTGAGGAGCCAAACTTCCTCCGTGCGAGTGGCTCTATCTGCCAAGTTACTTTCTGGAAGGATTCATGAAACAAACAACCAGAGCAATCAAACCAACAAAAGGGTGCAACTTACAGGGGTCGCAAGTGTGAGATGAACCCTCATGGGTCTTTGGCTACTTCATCTATTGGCGAGCTGCTTGGCGTTGCCTTAATGAAGCCTGCAAGCAGCATCCGACAAGCCACCCGGAGTCCCTTGAAGAGGTGCCAAGTAGGTACAGACCAAACAAACTGCCTTGTTTATGGTGACCCGGATTTGCAAGGCTAACCTGATCATTGCTGTCTTTGGGCATGAGCCCTCTCGCCGGCTCGTGAGTGAACTTGCGAGCCATGAGCTGGCGTGCTCACACACGAGGTGCCTAGAAAAGCTGAAAGCATTACTTGAAAAAATCAGTTTCCTCCGCGCCGGCCAGTCAAATAACGCGACATGTTGCCTGTCTTGGTTTATAGCAACGAAATTATCCTGACAAAACATGTTTCATGTGGGAAAGCTGAGTTGCTCAAATCCATCGGCAAGTAAGAACACCTCCAAGTGCTCGGAATCCTTAGGGCTTCCTTTTCAACATGCAACCGCTTGAGAATTACAAATCACCAACAAACAGAAACTCTTTGTTTGCCACTCCGGTCCAAACACGTTCAAGTCCCGCACCCAGAGAGTAGGTTAACCAATTCTGAGCAACAAAGTTCCAGCCCGTGACTCGAGACTTTCTTGGCCCCGCACTGGAGCAAGTTGGCACAAAGCTCCGCATTTTGCTGGTTGAAGTCGTCGCACAGGGTCTGGAAAATGGGCAGTCATGCGGCGCTGGTGGCGGGGGAGGGGGGAGGGGGGTTTCTGGAAGTGGGCCAAATCTGGGTGAAACACGGTGAAAGGCAAGCAACGCGCTCTGCAAAGAAAGTGCACGGCACCTGCAACAAAGGGCCCTCCTCCGCCATGCTGTCCTTTCAAGGGAAGCATTGTCTCACAGGTGCTGACAATAAGTGACCCCTATGAAAGAAACATAGATTTTAAGACGCGCGCAAGACCTGTCAGGAACACTCCGGCCTTGAAAATGTCCAGGATGACGCCAGGCGGGCATATCTTGAACCTCGGCTTGAGGCATGTATGTCTGTAGTTCACGCCAGAACGCACCCAAAAAGCGGCCATGGGCCGCTTTTTTGGAGGGTGTCACCCACCAAAGCTCTGGAAAGGGACAACCCTGATCAGCATCAACCAGGTCCATTCAGGGTTAACATTAAGTCTGGGATCTCCGGCTTGCATAGCTCGCAGAGGAACTTCACCACCTTCACCTGGCAAGGAAACTTGCGGAGTCAGCCAGGGTGTTGGGAATGAACCCAGGCATACCTAGGCATCAACAAGGACGAGTTCAGTTTCCCTCATAGTATGTTTCGGGGAGTAGGTTTCGGGTGTGTGTGTGTGTGTGTTTCGGGGGTATGTTTCGGGTAAGTCGAACATGCCTCCCTGTGCGCCTGTTGCCAGGGTTTGGAGAAAGGCCCAAAAATATCCTTGGGGCCACCCGTCGAGCGCCACGGCGACTGACCACGTATCGGTCACGCCAGGCACCGAGAGGGCATGCCATGGGAGGTAAGCTTTCGGGAGCTAAACTCCACCAATGGCAACCCAGTGACCTTTGCGGACAGAAAAAGAAGAATCATGAAGAATCCTTGAAACACTCAAAGGGTGGGATCCCAGCTAGGATTAAAGACGCAGGACTCCAATGTGCAAAACAATGCAAAACACAAAGGTTGGCGCCAAGAAGGGATTTTCCAGGAAACAAAGACTTGGACAGATTTTGGTGGGTCATTGGAATCGGCGTAGTCTCACCCCTGGAGGTTGGAAGGAACCTTTCTGGTGGGCAAAAGCTTGGTGTTTCTAACGTCAACTTCAGACCTTTTCTGCGAAAAACTGTCATGCGCGGAACATGTTTTCATGATTTGCAGGTTCCTTCGGATAGTTCTGGTGGATGCCCCCAAGTAAAGTCAACCTTTTTCAGCCACGCATGTCAATATACGGCAAAAAGTGTCCTTTTGGCTTCCCCCCCAAAAAAATACTACAACAACGGCCAAGCACCCAAAAAGGGTACCAACGTCCACCGTGCCCGCCTTCTGCTCCAAGAGGTTGGGGTTGGGGTCGCTGATCACCTGGCGAGCCCGGTCCGCCCGGTCCGCCCGGTCCGGCGTCTTTTTCGGACTTGGCAACCCTTGATTTTCAAGGGACAAGCGGAAACTCGGCATTCTTTCTTGGGGGGGGGAGGGTCGATTTTTGTTCTAGTTGTTTTTGGGGGGGGAGGTCCCCAAAACGGGAAACAGCCGTTGGGCCCAGCCCAGCCCACGTCGGCCCCTGCCCAAGCCTAAGCCAAGCACCAATCTTGCCAGTGCTGGAAACATTTCTCCCCCCCAAGACAAAAACGGAATCTGAAAGAGGGCCCCTGTTTGTGAGAGCATTGTCTTCCATGCGGTCTCTTTCTGTGTTATCAAGCCTAGGCCACCTAAGGTAATACCTAGGCAAGCAGCAAACCGTTGACTACTTTTCACACTGCTGTCAGTGCTCTTGAAGTCTGTAGCGGCGGAGCATGTACAAGGTACACTCATGCACAGGGTTGGAACCTGAATCCACACCCCCCTCATTTGAGATGGAGCAACAACGAAAATGTCGGCAGGTTTTGCAACCCGCTTTGATTCCATACGCACATCCATTGCACGTTGAAAATGGACATTACGCATCCGTCGTGCATGCAAATTGCTACTCTCTCTCAGAAGGGCTCCGTTGTGATGAGGATTGCATTCACCACCTTCCGCTAGTAGACCAGCCGCGCGAACTCCAGGTCGACCACTGCCAGCTGCTCCAGTCCTGACTGCTCCAGTCCTGACTGCCCCAATCTCTCCAGCTTCGGCTTCTGGCAGCAGAGCTGGAGGCGGGCTGAGCAGCTTGCACAGGTCCGCGGGCGCGGTCCTCGGCGCTTTGCCTTTGGCTGCGCCGTGCGAGCTTCTTCGCATCGTCCTCCGCCTGGCCGCGGCCAGATTGCGCATCCCCGGGAGGATGTTGACCTGGTCGACGAATTGATGAAGACTCAGCATTTTCCCGTTGTACGAGAATAGCCATGGAAACTCAAGCAGGCTGGCGTCATAGTCCCCGACCTTGCCGCCGGTGACGTAGACGGTCCTCACATACTGGAGACCTCGTTTTCCATAGCGTGGCCCAACCCCGAGAAGTCGTTGATCATAACTCCGTGGAAATTCGGGGAGGACACAAAACCTATAGATAGACATCTGGTAGAGGCTGTCGCGGTTGTGCCCTTGCTCCACCATGCGAAGGGCGAAGGTCGCGTCTTTGTCAAACCGATCCACCACGTTGTCGTATCCAAGCTTGCGGGCCCTGCTGTCGTAGTTCTTCGAAGCCTCGATCTGCTTGGCTTCAAAGGATGTTGCTCCTCTCTTTGCAACATCAGCGTAGCCCTTGAAATCATTGATGAGGAGCTGGTCAACCGTCTTGCCGACGCGGTGGCTCACCTCCTCAAGCATCTGCGTTCTCCGCTTTGCGGCTCTGAAGAGCTGAACGTCGTTGTTCTCCTTGGTGCTCCGTCCACAGCGCTGACACTTAATCTGCCCCTGCATCATGTCCTCGCCGCAGAGGCTGCAGTCCGTGTAGTGGACGGGCATCGCAAAGGTCTTGAAACGGACAACTGAGGTGTCGGCCGCGGGTTGCCCCGGGCAAGAAGCGGCCGTATCCTCATTCGTCTGCTCTTCTTCAGGATTTGTGGCCCTGTTCCCCTCCGCATCGGTCTGAAAGGCCTCGTCTGCAGTCACAGTGACGGCTCGCCTTGCGGCGAGCATATCGACAGTCGTTTTATTCTCCAATGCCTCAAGACGAAGGGCGTTTCTCCAAAGCACTTCTCCTGTCTTCGCGTCTGTGTAGTACAGAATGGAGTCATTGGGAACGATGTCGTTGGTCAGCATGACATCAGACTCGGAAAGGAAAAACACCACTCCGAGCTCAATCGCATACTTGAAGTCGATCACAAGCTCAATGGGCATCGTTGCTCGGACTCCAGCATTATACGATGAGCTCTCTACCGGGTGGATGGAGAAGTGGCTCTGCGAGCGGCCACTCTCCGTGGCACCAACGCCACCCGGGACCAAACCTGTCCTGACGATGTTCTCGGCTGCGTTCTTGCTCGTGCGATGGTATAGTTTGCCAGGGCCATCATCAACCGGTGAAAGTTGCAGTCCGACCTTGCGAGCGTCCTCCGGGAGAAACTTCCCATAGACGGCCTTCGCAAGTGCATACTGATTCCGGCTGATGTCGCCATCAGCATCAACGCTGCTGGCGTGTCCCTGACTGGCACGAACCTTGATGACAACCCACTCCTGGTGGTTCTCGGCAGCCGAAGGGTGCTTGATCGCGAGGACGGTGTATCTGCATTTCGGATCGAGTGCAAAAATCTTCAACAGCGTTTTGTACCCGATATTGCTGCGGGTCTTTCTGTTGAATTTGTCACATAGCTGATGGACGTCGACAAAATAGTTCTCATCGAAGTCGAGTGGCCTCTGTTCTTGAAACCTGCCACGAAGCATACCAGATATGGTTGTGCACCGATCGGTAGAGGACGTTTCTCCCTTCATGAAGTTGGGCACCTTCAGGATCGTGCCCGGGAGAATCCTCGCCTCATACTCCTGGCCGCGGAAGATGACGGTTCCGCCGGGCTTGCCTGGCAACGCGCTTCCGGCAGGGGTTGCCCCCCGCACATCCGACGCCACCGCAGCAGTTGATGGTTTCGCCTGTACCTTAGGCGATGCTTTCGCGGTGAACTTGGGTGTAGCCGGAGCGGCCTTGACGCCAAGCGCAGCCTCAGCGGCACTCCCTTGCGGGAGTGCATCATCGTCATCATAGTCGATCTCCTCCTTGATTTCGACTTCCTCGATCTTTTCGAGGATGCGGCCCTTCGCGAGCTTGATCGGACGTTGAAGGCTTTCCCATGACTCAAGAGTGAGCTTCCTGTTCGCCTCATACTCGGCCAAAGTGTTGGGATTGAGTCCAGCTTCGGCGTCATGAGAATATTCAAGGTACAACCTCACGTTGTTGAAATCTTCTTTGTGGGACTCAACGACAGCGACACACTTCATGACGTTGTACAACGACCACAGCCACTCCACCGTCGTCTTCCGGTTCTCGATGGAGTCCATCATGTGATAGTTGTCAAGCCGGTCCTGCCGAGATACCAAGAACGTCGACTCCTTCTTGCGAAGGAGCTTGTGCTTGTTGAGCGACTCATCCAACAACTTTTCCATGAACTGGTTGTAGATGGGCGGGAGCATATAGTACGAACCCTCGGTGTTGGCCAAGATCGTGATGTTTGCAATGCCCCACCAACTCCTGCACTCCTCAAGCACATCGATCGCCTTGGCGCACTTGTTGAACAGCTCGGGCCAGTGACCGTCTCCGCAACGGTATGGCCATTCGGGCTCATCGCAGATCCCACCACTGCCAACGAGCTCGTTCCCGGACCAGTACACCGTCACGTAGAAGTCGTGGTCCTTAAACTCAGGGCGCTTCTTCAAGTCCTTCATGGCGCTCTTCACTGTCCACGTGAGAAATGTGAGGTCCTTTCCCCAACACATTCTCACCTCACAGTGGCTACAACCAGTGCTGCGGTTGTAGTTCATGTCCTGCGCCAAGTCCGCCCTCTTGCGGTTCTTCTTGCCACCGCTGATGAGGGCGAGGCTGGAGTCACTCACAACGAGGTATACGCTATTCCGGCCACAGGTTGCCCCGGGCGTGATGCGGCCAAGACCTTTGTCGTTGACGGCGCAGAGCGTATCCATGAGCTCCGGCGCGTAGTCAGCCGCCCACATAGCGCATGAACTCTGAAGGGTGGCCTGTGCTCCGAGGATCTGCTCCATTGTCTTGCGATCCTCAGGCCTCGTCTCCTGGAACAAGGTGTTCGACGTGAAGCTCGTCATCACACCTCGCCAGTACTCCAAGTTGCCCTCCTCATACTCCCCGAGATTGTAAGCAGCCATTGCGGCTACCGGTGAGGGAAGCTTAAGAGCAACAAGTGCACGTTTTGTTGGTCTCTGAGCCGAGCTATCGGTGACAACCTGTTTCATGCTGTCAGCAAACTCAGAAAAACATCCATGGATCAGGTCAGTCATTTCATACGTGTAAGATTCAGCACGTTTGAGGGCCGCCCCCCTGGACTGTCCATGCTGATGATCCTTTGTGCACTTATACTGTTGCAGTTTGGCCAACGATTGACAGGAAGAAGCAATAGTCCATGACTTTTGCAACAAATTTCCATCCTTGTCCAGGACACCAAACATGCAACCATCGCAATTGTACTTGACCATCTCATATTTCATGAGGAAATCATGCACGAAATAGTTCTTCCAAGAACTGCAAAGCTTAGGAAGTTCCATGTTGATCACAAGCACAATGTCAAGCTGTCGAAGCATAGTGATAAGTTTGTCCAAACGCTTCAGCAGTTTACGAAACAACGCCTTGTGCTCCTGGATCTTGGCTTGACCTTCTTGAGTCTGACCATTGATATTGTTCCAGGGGCACCCACCCGTACACGGGAGTGAAGCATGAAGCATCACACAGGGCGGTGTTTTGGACTTGACATTCTTCCTGAAAAGTTGCACCTCGTCAAATACCCATTTCAATGTATCAGCAACCAACGCATTCTGACGCTCAGTTACTCTAAGCACCTTGCAACCGAATGCTGGTAATCTTGATTTGTCGCCGAGCTTGGAATCATCAGAACAGCAAAATTCGCACAAGAACCGATCATAGGTTTCATGCGTGGAAACGGCGGAAGCTTGCGCCTCGCTAGTGGGGGCTGGTTTGATTGTAATGTTTCCATCCAACTGCACCCACCGTACTCCAATAAGATTGCACGCGTGATCCCATTTTGCTTTGCTCGTAAACGGCTTGGTCAAGATGTCCGCAACCTGATACACAGTGTTGACATTGACGAGATTGAAGAAACCTTTCGTGAATTGTTCTCGAAGCCACGCCAAAGAAGTTCTTTGAGTTCTGTCAGCATGACGAAGCTGTGCGGAATTTCCAGTCTGAATGATGTGAATCGTTGCTTGGTTGTCTTCGCAAAACGCAACTTTAAACTTCTCATTCAAATGAACAT